GAAATCCTCGTAACTTTGAGTTGGCTCACCAAGCTTCTCAACAACAACTTGCTTCTGCTTCTCCTCAATTTTGAAAACTATGAAGCGGTGGGTTCTTTTTGCCTTAAGCTCCAAAAACTTTAACTTACAGTCATCATGCACAGCCATTCCAGACGCTGCATTTGCCTGTTATCAAAACAACTTAATAAACACCAAGTATCCAAAGCAATTTCAACATCTCATTTGCTTAAATATGATCAAAGTTAGTATAAACAATTATTTGAAAGGTAAAATAAAAATGCGACTCCAAATGACATGTTCTAACACTTCAGAAACAACTAAACAAATAGAAGATCTAGCAAGCTAACAATTAAAGGATCTCAGCTCATATACACAGAAGATCCAGCAGAATTCCAGAATCCTGTTGCCGAAGATGTTACAACATGTTCCATTTCAGGGATCAAATAAAAAACAAATCTCAGTTCATAAAAAGCTGATCGTACCCAACCATCAAGCAGAAATTTGACATCATAACAACCGAAATCAGATCTAGAACTCAGAAAATTAAAACGAAAAACACAGTGCGTTCCTAACATCGCAGACAGTTGGAACTGGAATAAACAGATCATCCACGGATCCAAGATCGACGATCAACAAAATTGCCAAGAAATTACAGTACAAAGAGAAAATGGAGAATTGAAGATTCAGTTTCTCAGTAACCAAACAAGACAGTAGAGAATCAAATCGAAACAGCAGAGACATTTACCATCTTTGTGACCTTTTACGAGACAGAATCGGAGATCGCGACCCGTAGGGAGGATTTGGGGGAGGAAATATAGAGATGAGAGAGAGATGAGTCTCCTCAGATAACTAAGGGGAATGGAGTGGGTGATGAAGTCCCTTTTACGCGGTGCGTCTGGGAGCGTCGTACTAATATATCCTGAAAATACCGTATGCTATTAACTTTGCGTTAATCCGTCATTGACTCGCAAACCTCCGGTCCTCCTTCTTAATCAATGGCTGCACTTTAGCTGATAAAGCCAGCTTAGTTAAGAAGTCTGACCCTACTTTAGTACGGTAAATGTAATAAAATAAAAATGAAATTAGTACTATTTTTTTTTTCTCCCCGGCGGTTGCGGTGTTTTGCGATAGGAAGTGGTTATAATCTTTTTTAATTAAAATTTTGATTTTTTTTTTAATTTTGATTACACATTAAGAGGTAATTATCTCTTATTTGTTATCCTACTCTACTTA